ACCAGCTAAGGCACAGTGAGGAGATTGGAGTACATTTTACCCAACCCAATCTCAGTGTGCTGTTTGGCAGTATATTTAAAGCCATGTAACAGATGCAGGAAGAGCTACAAATATGATTTCAGTCTGACCTGTCCAATGACGTCTCGGCTTCTGAATGAAGCGGAGTTATTTTTCACTGATACACTGAGGCGTCTGAATCTTATCTCGTCCTTAGGCAGATCATACTCAAACCTTTAAAAAAGCACAAAAAGATTATTAAGACACTAGGTCAGATCTTTAGGGATAACAAAATCTACAAAGGAGTAAAGAATGTAGTGCAACCTTTCATTAAATTCTGGGTTGAGGTCTCTCTTCTTCACTCCTGTTTTTTTCTTAGTGGCCTTGCTTTTATCTGGCAGCAGCATGAGGGAGACATAGCTGTCCACACCATCCTTATGTTGCGACAACAGACCTCTGTGCGGTCAAAAAAATAAACAATATAAAAATGAAATATAGTAATGATGAACAAAAGTTAACTGTAAAAAGGTTTTAAGACATGCCAGCAGGGGTGGGAGCACTTTGATATTTCCCGGGAGTTATTTTGAGTTCATAAACAGTCAACTTCTAAAGCAAAAGTACAACAAGCAAACATGAGAAACTCAGATATAAGTATAAGTTGCAGCTCTCACTCCAAGTGTCCACTGGACAGGGGGTGCATTTCCTAAAGATGCTTCATTGTGCGTCTATTGGTAAAGCCCACAATGTCTATGAATATATTTTCTACCTAACAGAAAATCTGCTACCATTTAGATCATTCATACCCTGAATAACTCTATTAAAATGTAGCATCTGCTAAATGAACATAAAGCATTAGCCTATAAAATTAGCGGTCTCACAGTTCGTGCGAAAAGGTTGTCATATCATATGATGGAGACATATTATTTTTCATTTAGTATGTTAGAGCAATACAGTTTCTTCTTCAATATATGGAGCAGTCAACATAGCATGAAATATTCTTTGAGTTATCATTAATAATTTCCCTATTTGTGGGTTTTTCCTAAAGTGTTAGAGACCAACAGAAATGCAGAGCAGAATGTTTTTCAATGCAACAACATACAGACATTTCTGATGGACTCAGGTATTGTTTCCATCATGTGCTGAATTCAGTTTTTGTAAAGCCACATCAGAAGATGTGCAAAATGAATTCAAAATGATCTTTCTGTCAGTATAAAGTTGGTGAAAATAAACACGAATTTCTTTTATGACCTGTTTTTGACCCCACACAGAAACATGGTAAGTTTATGATGAAGTTATGATGAGGTTGTGTTATAATATTACAAACGCCTTCCTTTAACACAGCCTCAGATGCATAATATTCATATGCAGCACTCATGCGATTTAAATGTTTTGTTTCACACACCTGCAGGCGTGAACGATGACAATGAGCTTTCTCTCTTGCGAGGCATATGAAAGCGACAGCTTCACCTGCCCGTTTCCAGAACCGCACCCAGAAGCAGCGCAGGGCAAAGTCCCTGCACCAATCAAATCCGTCATTTTGGATGCCAGTATCTATAAAACACATCCAGAATAACAGTAAGAGCACGCAGTAACAAGTCAACTCATTCGCTTTTATCTGTCAGATGTTATCACCTTCAGTTCAGCCCTAAGCAGGATTTGACTTTCAGGTGATGCTCCATCCAGATGGAACCACTGATCCTGAACCAGCTGTGGCTCTGCAAGCAGATTCTTGACAGGAATCACCAGAGATCCCATTGGCTGGTCCCAGCCACTCGACAACTGCGATGCAAAAGAAAGTGAGAATGAAAATCACCCCAATATTAGTACTCTTACATGTAAGCAAATTAAATCTGTACACACAAATGAATGCAAGAAGTATTGCAAAATGTAAAAACAGATGTAGATAAATATCTTACTTTCACCACAAGCATATCATGCTTAGGATCATGGACCACAAAGTAGAAAGACTCATTCCACTGAGGACTGGTACTGCGGTCACAGAGCTGATAAAGTGTGACGAAATGATAAGATTAATATAGCAGTAAAAAAAAGCAATTATCACACTGAGTTGCAGAGCAGCATGAGAGAAAGAGCCTCACTTTGGTTTTGTAGGCTGTTTCACCCAGAACAAGCTCAGCTCCGGCTTTTGGTTCTTTTCCACTCTTCTTGAACTATGAAGCAAAAGAGAGGCATTCAAGTTACACAGCACGTGGGATCGTTTCTATCAACTTGTGCACAGTGTATCAATGAACTGCGGGCGACTTACAGATAATGAATGTGCTCTGTCTATATGGACAAAGAGCAGAGCTGCAGCAGGGACAGCTTTGTTCTTAAAAGCCTGGAGAGACTGAAGCTGCAGCACCTGTGGCATGGAGCACAGCCAGTTAGGTCAGGTGATTATTTTGCAAAGTGAATATACCTTGTGTGGTGCTATGTTGCTCAACAGCATTCTAGGAGGCCGGAGGCATAACACTCCATGTTTAAATGAACAGAGCGAGGCTGAACTGAGTGAGTTTATTAACACGGTGCGGGGCCCACCTGCTCCAGTCTGGCTGTGTTTGACACTGCAGGAACCCACTCCAATATCAAGTGAACCTGTCCAGATTTCACATCCTTCAGAGTGTACCACTGCAAGAGAAACAACGTTTGTTAGAGAAGCATGACAAACTCTTTGTACGAGGAAAACAGGCAACACTGAGTTAAAAACACACAGGGTGTGGCTCAAGGTTTGCATGACTAACCTGATCTGTGTACTGTGATCTTATGACCTCATTTAGCTTAATACTGAATCTGTGAACACGAATACAGGCAAATGATTAACAACAACAAGAGTTTAAGTTCACATAATATGACCAT